AGAGAGAGAGGAAGAGAGAGAGAACATGCTTGGCCTTTAGCAAACACAATCCATGCCAAACCATCTGGGCATTAAATCTGTCCTACTCAAAAATCGCTTCAGTTGCAAAAGTAACGAACTCTCTCTCATACTCACACTTTGGGTTTGTTCTGATGATGCATAGTTTTTATTGTTTGCACCAGAACAAAGTCCGGTTGACGATGAAGGGCCTAAAGCTGCCATTTATGTAAATTCTTCCCTTCTTTTCGCCACATGCCTTCAAATATTTATAAATTTGTGCTCCAGAAAATCTCTTTAAAGTCTTTGTATTCAGCCACCCAGTTTGTTCTTTCTGAAAACCCAGACTGTGTCGAAGCCTTGCCGATCACGCGCTGACCTGAATTTCCAAAAAGCTCAGTTAAATACAAAGTTAAATGCTCTTTTATTCCCTTTTTTACTCGACTGCCATGAAAAATGTAGATGGAGGAGCAGAGACGAGTGAAATAAAAGTTTAAACCAGAGATGAGAAGCTAAAAAAAAAATAAATAAAAACAGAAGGAAAACAGACGGGTTCATTTGGTGTCACGGTATTGACCATGTTCGCTTCGCCGGCTGCCTTGATTGTATTGTTCACACAGAGCGTGATTGGGTAATTTAGTGTGTGTGTGTGTGTGTGTGTAAGGCACAACAACGCTGCAGAAAATTACCTTGCAGGCGACTGGTGGTTGTCTGCAGCATAAAAGGAGCCTCCCTTTTCTTTTCTCGCCCCCTACCCATCATTAGGGTGTGCACTGCGTCTAAAATGGCAGGTAGTGGTAAACGTGTGTGTGTGTGTGTGTGTGTGTGTGTGTGTGTGTGTGTGTGTGTGTGTGTGTGTGTGTGTGTGTGTGTGTGTGTGTGTGTGTGTGTGTGTGTGTGTGTGTCGTTGCTTGATGTAATAATGTGTGCTCGGCCTGTGGGTGCAGGCATGGCTCCTGAAAGCGGGGTGTTTTCATTGTTCTGGTATCTTTTCTGGCTGATCCATTTTCTTTCCATTCTTATATCCACTTCTAAACAAAAACTGCTGCTTTTATTTCCTCTGCCTCTTTGTGCACAGATTCCCTCTCTACTGCCTTCACGTAGCCTCTGTTTTCTTTTTTCCATTCCTTCTGGCTGCTTATCAGCGTTGTTCACGTTTTCCTGCTTTACCGGAGCAGTTGGAGGTATTTGCATACCAAATGAGCAATCTACCTCTCTGACATGCAAATTAATGGATGTGAATTATGCATTTATGGCACGCAGCTAACGCCGCATCAGGCTCCAGCACAAGCAAATGCTTTGAAAACATTGAGAAGAAGGAGGGACAATAAAGATGCCACCACAGCAAGGAACGCTGCGGCTTTGAGCTTCACATGCAGAACTGGTGTAAACAGGACAGCAGCCATGTTTTCTGCCAGTTCCGTCTTAAATTAACCCTTAAGATTGTTTTTGTAGTTCTGGAAAATAAGGAATTTGATTTCACTGTAAAGAATTTCTTTGATTTATTGTTGTCACTATAAATAAAAAAATTAAGTGACGGTATTATCTAAAATGTTATATTTGCTATTTTCTCCATTGTTTATTCCACAAGAGCATCAATAAATATTAGTAAATTTTATTAAATGTAAATGCTTTGTGCAGTTTATTGATACAATGAAAATGTTTTTCAAGTTTTGTTTTTGTTTGTGGCGCTACAAATGCTGTGCCAATCAGTAATCTAAAAAATAAGCAATAAATCGTGTTTTTTTTTTTTTTACAATATCACAATAAAGCCAAAAAGTGTTCAAATATAATTTGAAGTCAACATTGCCCAACCCTCCTTCTCACAAACAGCTACTGTAGCTGCAGTAGATGAACCAACCAGAAAATTTGTTTTCAGTTTTAGATGCAGATTTTAGCTGATTTTATTCCACTTTTAGTCACAAATAATTAACTTTTACTCTCCCATAAAAATCTATCACATTTAACATTTCCATACACACGTCAAATATAAATAAAAAAAAGCCATTGACGGGATTGTTCTACTGCTGCAGCGTAAAACAATTGTCTTTTTGCCTTCCAGCAAAATATCCGATGTAAACAGCAACATGCATATTAATACTGTAATAATATGTTTTCCTTGATGTTTACATAAAAATATGTTTTTTTCTTTTTCTTTCCAGCTGTTTTTAGTTCATAACTTAATAGCCTCCCATTATATCTGCTGTATATCTTCCCTCCATATGTGTGACCATAGATGGAGTCCATCAGAAGTTCACAGGAAGTGATGAATCAGACTGAAACTCTTTTCCTGCCTCTAAAGCCTCACAGACCCTCTGGGCTTGTTTGCTGATTTCTTTGCTAACGGTCTCCAAGTGCTGACGTCAATTAAGCTAAAATGGTTTTCAAATAATTACCTCTCTCAAAGTATTAGAGCCACCAAAGTGTGAAATTACTGAGGACACTTTTAGTGTGATTGTTTTTGCGCTAAAACAAAAGAACTCCTGACTTGTGAAATGTGAAGTGCCATCACAAGGGTTTAACGTTAAAGCTGTTTTGAATTGAGCTTTAAAACATTGTTTTGTTTTTTAAAGAAATTTATTTGTATTGGATTTTTTCCTCTCTGGTTTTAGTGCATTAAATCCACAACAGAAGTAACTTTTCCCTTTCAGGGAAAATTCCCCTGTTGTAGTGAATTGAAGTTTTTTCTTCATACATGACGTTGCTAATCAGTACTTGGGCGTCTTCTTGTTAGCATGTTTATTTTGGTTCTGTGTACCCAGAATGCCCTGTGCCATAGTCCACTTCCTGCTATTGGAGTCAAATCCAGTTAGTTTTCGCTTACGCATTCAAACCGCACCAGAGTTCCCTTGTGCCGAACCCAGACTATTACGCAAAGGCAAAAGATAAATCTCACAAAAAAATTTTGACACCACTCCATTTTATTTATATTATATGAAGAAGAAAGTTGTGCTCTGTGTCTTCTGAGATTTTACCGCCATTTCCTTGGAGAGTCCTTGGCACAGTGCCCCCTCAGGTGAGGAGTGGAACAGGTTTTTAAATTAGTTTGACAGAAAACAAACCGCTGCAGCTGGAACTCCAGTCCCAAATGTTGCAACCAAATTTCATCATTTTGGAATAAAATAATTAATGTTATTAATTAATTTAAGTAGCAGAGAGAAGCATCATTACATTTGCTCTGCGTGAAATTTTAGTTGGTCTTTGTTCGTTGCCCTCCACCTCCACTTCACCATTTTATTAAAAACACAAATAAATCCACACAAAAATGGAAATATTAAACCTTACCGTTGCTTTTTCATTATTTCACTGCTTATGTCTGTTATAATAACATTTAAAATAAATATTTTCATGAAACGATCCATTTTATTTGTCATGCAAAGTAACGTTCTCAATCTGATTCCCACCTTTCTTTTCAAATAAAATCATTTTTAGTGCATCCGAGGGCTTTAATTAACCTATAAAATATATTAAAGATGATTTATCACACCGTTTATTAACTTTTTCTGAACAGATAGCCACACACAGCACATAATGACAGGATATGGAGCGTATAATCAAGCTCTGAATTATAGCGCGCAGTTTGTTTCCAGTTGAGTACCTCCTCTAAATCAAATGAAGCGCCAACCTCTAAATAATTAACCTGGATGCCCAGACTTTCGTTACATTCACATAAAATTTTTAGTGAGTAAAACCGGAGCGCCTTCGTCTTCTTCATTTGATGAAAATGAATCGCTGATCTCGGACCGAGCTTCAGAATCGGCCCGGATGATTGTTGACCAACAGGATAATAACCGTAAACTTAATGAACTCAGAGTTTTGGGTTTGCTGCTGTCAAGTCGAGAAGAAATAGGAGCAGCTTTGCAAATAAAAGCCTAAGCGAATAAATGTCAAACCATATTTATCTCCTCCACCATCCATGAGATGATCAAACAAAAAGCTGAGCTGTAAACGGCCCAGCTAAAAACACGGCAGCATCTTCCATCGCAGATTAAACTTTCATCACAGTCTGCGTGTGTGTGTGTGTGTGTGTGTGTGTGTGTGTGTGTGTGTGTGTGTGTGTGTTTGTGTGTGTGTGTGTGTGTGTGTGTTTTCATGCGGACCGTCTCTCTTTGTCTTTTAAATTACCCACACACCATCTGGTTGAGTAATTTTTATAACAAGCCGGAGAAGGTGTCATTACCAAGCGATGCAGCGATTGTGTAAGTCTGTTTTTCTTCAGACGTATGAGATGCTTGGCAGGACGAGGTGTTGATGGGATTAGTTCAGCTTAAAGGTTAATGATTATTCAGGTAAATTTGGTTTAATGCAGACACACAAACAGCGTTAAAGACAGAAAACATGAGACCAGGACAAAAAGAAAGTTTCATTTGAGAATATCAGAGTTTATGGTTTCAGTTTTTCTTTTTTTTTGCAGCAGATTTTAGCAATATTTTGTCCATTTTTATAGTTTTTTGTCTAATAAAAGCTCTTATGAACTTCTTTTGTTGGATTTAGACCATGAGAACACTGGAGACAACGTCTCTTTTTTAGCTTAATAATGTCTTTTATTATGTAAATGAAGACATTATTAAACCAGTAGCTTTGGGTTTCTCATTATAGGTTAGTTTTATTTCATTGTGACATTTTATTTGTCTAATTCAGTTGCTTTCAGTTAGTTTTTAGAGTGTTGTTAGTTAAACATGGTTTGGTGTTTATTAGCTATGATTGTTTTAGTTTTTTCATGCTTTGGTTAATTTTTAGGTGCAGAATTTAAAAAGTGTTATATTGTGGTTATATGTGGTTATAATCAACAGAAGAAATTAATTTCAAAAAAATGTTTCACAAAAAGTCACTCTTGCGATTTATTTATTTGAACTAAGTTTTAATGATTGTTTTGACTTCAACTCACCTTCCAAAGTATGTTTTCTAGTAAGTAAAATCTGGAGTCTGTCTTTTATCACCTCTCAACATTTATGGCCTTTTAAACATTTTTTTGATGTTTTCTTTTCTTCTGCTTCTCTCAGGTTCTTACAGAGGAAGGTTTTGGTTCAATTACAACAGAAATCACTGAAGCCAAACCGTTTTATTACGCTGAGGATTACCACCAGCAGTACCTGAGTAAAAACCCACATGGATACTGCGGGCTGGGCGGGACAGGAGTCACCTGTCCGATCGGACTCAGCAAAAAGTCCTGAGAAATCCTCACCCATCTACAATTACAGCCAACATCAAACAAATGTTGTTCAGCTTCTTATCAGACATAATTTTTACTTCCTGCTTTGTACATCTGTAAGATTGAATTTTTTCTGAAAGAAATTGTGAATTATTATTTTTTTTCTGTTGGGACTATTTTTATAGTCTGTTTAATGAGTTGATTTCAATTAAAGCAGCTTATAGAATAATGCAGATTGTCTTGAATAAAGCAACCTCTGAAAGTAGACATGTTGAGTTTTTCCTTCCACTAAACTTTCCTCCTTTGTTTGAAAATGTTTTTTATTTTGATGAAATGATTCTGACCCTTTGTTGATTTCAGGTTTTTTCATAAATAAACAAAGTGATAAGAATGTTGGTTCTTAGCACTTTGACAAAATCCTTCAAGCTTTTTTTTTTTTAATACTTTGGAAATACTCAACTAAAAAATTTTTACTCAATTGCATTTACTTACTGAGTAACATTTAAAAAAAAATAAAATACAAAGAAATATTTTTACTAGGCTGTACATTTTACTTCTACTTGAGTAACTTCATTATAAAGTATTTTTACTCTTTGAGTAAAATTTCAAGATTTTTGACCCACTGAATAAAAAACAAACATGTTTTAACCAGAAATTTACCAGATTCAGAGACACTGCAGTTTGTTTTATTGAAAGATACTGATTTGGGAACATTTTCTTTCACTTGGTTTTGTTAGTTTTTAGTTACTAATATGAATTATTGTCATTTTTGTCCTTAAAATACCAAAATTTCCACTTAACTTTAGAGTTTGGTCCATCTGATGACATTATTTTTAAATGATTGATAATTTGATCAGCCAAATACTTTTTTACTCTTTCTAAATATCCTCTCTATGCCTGCTCAACTTGCCCATCGACAATAAAATCTGGGTGAACAGTATTAGAAAGGTCAGATCAGATGATTTACTGTAAATATTTCCGCAGTGCGTTTGCTCTGCAGTGTTTTGTGTGCATGTTGTGTTGTGAAATGACCTCTTTCCTCTGATCTTTGCCCGAAGCCATGTTCCGGTCCAGGCCTCATCTGTCATCACGGTTAATCTCCAAGCATGTGTGTTTCTCTCCACTACATGCACATGTGTGTGTTTGGATGCAAACTCACACACACCCAGCAGGAGGAGAAAATATCGGGCGCCAGGCCCGCCGAAGCCTGGCGCCGACATCACGCAGCAAACCAGGGAAGAGATGAGTCTCTTTGGAGATGGCAGAGCGCCACCTTGCATCTCTGCTGGCTCGGACTGCAGCTTCACTGCCTCTTGGAAGCTGATCTGGAATAACTATTTTTGGAATAAAGTGGGTATTATCAGCAATATTATGCGACTCTGCCATTTAAATCAAATTTGAAATAATTTCCTCATGTTAAAAACTTTTACGTCTCATTTAATTAAGGGGAAGTGTTTTCCAGGCATAATCAAGTAACTAAATTACCTTTAATTGATATCAAAATGTTGACTTGAAAGAAATTTGTCCTTGTAATTTAACGCTGAGACATGGCTCCTCTATTAACCCTTTAACATTATTTTTTACGAATGTTACTGAGAAGTAGCTCGTATAAAGAGTTCAGTTCCAGCGGGTGTTTGCTAATTGCTGCTGGCTAGTCTGAAGGAGCTGAGTGAGGGAGGGCTGCTGGTAAACTGCAGCTCTGAGGAGGAGCTGCGCCTCGAAGGCGGGGCTTTGTCCACCCAGGCGTCTTGCAAGGATGGGTTGTTGCTATAGAGATTAAAGGATTTCTTAAGCATGCATGAGAAAACCGGCAATGTTGTTTTGATTTCAGAACAGCATTAAAACATGAAGATAAGCTAAAAAGGGGAGATTTTACCTGATACTGTCTCTTTAAATGTGCCAACAATACAATAGTTTTCTCACTTAGCATGTAGCGCCCTCTAGAGTTATTAGCCATGCAAATAAAATATGTTATTACACCTTAGTGATCATAAGATGCCTCTTTGTTGCAGATTTTCAGCAGTCAGCTTGGTTTTCTTCTCACCCCGCCGGGTTTTTAGAAGTTCCTGATATTTTGATCTTTATAAATATTCCTGTGAGCATACATATAGGTAAGTGTATATAAGTATCAGTTCATGTTTTCATACTACAACCAAAAACTTTACACTTCAAGTACACAAAATATTACCAAGTATTTTTGGTTTAGCTTCAAGTGCAGTTACACATAGAATAATATATAAGTTATTACAAATATGATAAATATATTGTTCCACTGGCAGATTATTTCACTTATAACTAGAACTTTGTGATTGATGGGAGGAACATCAAGCTGAGATCCCAAAGTGACTCTGGAGGAGCTGCAGAGACCAACAGCTCAGCTAAAAGATTACTGAATCCTAAAACATATCCTTTATGTAAAACACTAACTCTGATGTGCAGAGAAGGTGAAACTATTTTATAATATCATCTTTGTTGGTATCTGAGTTGTTTTTGCATACAATCTAGATTTTTGTTGCAAGTTCATAATTTTGAGTTTTTAAATTTTCCAAAATCAAACTTTGTCTCAAAAGGGGGAAGCAGTGTTATTTTTATTAAGATCATGTTTTAAACGAGCTGACAAAAAAAATTACTCATTTAGTTTGTAAGCTAAACATAAAATACCAGGAGGTTTAAACCCTGGCCTCTGCTGCCATCTGGTGGTGAGTGTGCAGAATGACCATATTTCTGTGTTATAACAATAACACAGAAATAAACATTTTAATTTGACCCGGAAAGTTTTTATCCAATAAGATTTCGCCTGTTTTTGCTGTTTGTAATTCTTCAACTCTGCTTCTATAAATGGGATTTTAAAAATAGTCACAATTTTCAGCTCAAATCTCATTTAAACGAATCTGGTTCATCCAGATCAGGTTTAATGAGCTGATTTAACTGGCATCACGGTGCACACGTTCCATAAAAGGCATTTCTACACTTTACTCTTCATTGTGTTAGTTGTGATTCACCTGTTCATTCACCTGTTCTTGGCTCGTCCTGCTGAGTCTTTCAAGAATTCCCAGTTATTTGGCGTCTCTTTGACATTTTAAATATATAAAGTCGTTTCGTTTCATCGTCTTTGTTAACATTACTAATCTAGAAAAAAAAGTTGTTTCCAGGATTTTCCCAGTTTTAATCCTAACATGCTCTGCTCCACCGTTTCTCATCCTCGCTTCTGTCTTTAAAACTCTGATGACCCTGATGACCCTGAACCCTGACCCGTTATGTCAGAGGAGGTTTGGTCTGATTTAGTCAGACTATTATGTATTTTTATTCAATGTATGTAAATATCTGGTTTCTATTATATATCATGTTCACTTTTGAATCAAATTTCTGAAAAAGATTAACATTTTTGTGTTTTTCTCATTCCTTTAAATTCTCTTTGCACTTTTCTGCTGAATCTGAAAGTTTGTTTTCTCACCACTTGAGGGCAGTAGTGTAGCAGTTTACCATGGAGTTTGCAAAGCAGCAAAACCAACGTGCAGAGAGAAATCATGGGAGATTCATCAAGAGTTTTTAGATCCAGACAGCCTGTTAAGATTCACAGATCAGATGCTGATGTCTGGTTTCAGAGCCAATTTCTATATTAGGCTCAGAACGTCTAAAACTTACTTTCCAACTGTATTTCAAGACCTAAATGCCAAACACAACTTTTTCCTTGCCCGTTTCAAAACATGTCAGGATGACGATCTGTGTTTTTGTTATGCTTCCTGTGAGTTGTTGATGGTTTGCAGATATTTTCCTACTTAGACCCGAAGGCTCCAGCTTAGCAGCCACCTACACATTTACTCTTGCAACACTGCACAGCGTAAAAGTATCCACACCTCCACTGGTTTTTGTGAATGTGTAATTGCAGATAATACAATCTAAACAAACTTCTGCAATTGCTTGCAAAAAAGTGGAAATTTGAGCCTGAAGAGATAGAAGTAATGTCAATATTTGGACGTTGCAGGGAAGGCTTCATTAGGGAGGTTTGGAGATTTTTCTTTTTGGGTGTTTGGAGAAAATGAATGAGAAAACTCTCAGACTCCTTCCTGAGTGGGTTGTATTTACAGCAGCCTTATACAAAGATCTGCAGTCAGCATCACAGACCATAAATAATCTAATTCGGATAAACAACATCACATGAATTGATACAGTAAAGCATAAAATGTTTTATTTGTGTCCGAAACATGAAGCAGATTCAGCAACATGAACAGTCAAATAAAGTGATGACAAAGCTTCAAACCAGAGACAACAAGGCCAGTCAACATTTATAACTCGCAAAAGAAAAGAGAAAAAGTTCAACACTTCAAGTTTTAAACACTGAACTGGATTCTTTTTTCATTAACCTGCAAAATATACTTAAATAATCTCAACTCTTTCACTCCTGGTTTGGAATAAATTTAAATATAGAAATGCTTTGATATATAAATATTTACATCATAAACTACATTATTTGAACATAAAAATGTATCATTTTTTAACCAAATGAAAGGAGTTAAAAATGACGAGCTGGGTCATATAAAACAGCCACACTGATGGTTTATATGTTTTGACTTGAACAAACGTCACAGGATTATACACACCTTACAGGAAGAGCTAATCTGTAAGATAATGGAAACAAAAAATGCAGAAGCATTTCCACGAGATTGCCTCATCTGGTTGGATTAACAAAAAATCCATGTGGATTAAAATGCAACAAAACAAAATGTAGACTTTAAAACTTAAAAATCTGAAAGTTTATCATCACACAACAAGCAGGTTTATCTCTTCAAACTTTCCTCAGGATAACGAGGGAGTAATAACTGGATCTCACGTGTTGTTTTTTTGACATTAATGCATTATTCTTTGAAACTTAAAGGCTACTTTACTAAAATTTAAAAGCTCAAGTTCTTGGAAGTAAAAGTTACTATCCTGACACATATAAGTTCTTCTCTGCAATTCACAGGTTACATTATATCTGTAACTTCAAAGCTACTATGAAGGAATACATCGATTATTTTCCTCAAAAGTTAATGGATAAAAAGTAAAGGATATTTTTCTGAAACTCTCTGTTTGCTCTCCTGGAGCTTACAGACGTTTTGAATATTTACAGAAACATACAAGTTGCTTTCAGGAAACTAAAATGTTGTTTTTCTAAAACTTTAATAATAATTTAAAAGTTTCCATTTAGGTTCCTGAAACAGGTTGCTTTCTGAAATGGACGTTACTTTTCTACAACTCACAGATCACCTTCCCAAAACTTGCATGTTGTTTTACTGCAGTGTTTCTCCACTGCGGTCCTCAAGTCCTCTGCCTTTTAGGGGTTTCCCTTCTGCCACACACCTGGATTTAATCTGTGGATAATTCAGAGCCTCCTGTGGTACTTGGTGGTTGCAGAAGAGGTCATGCAATCATTTGAATCAGCTGTTACAGCTGTTACAGATGATGAATAGAGGCTCATGTAAAACATGCAGACCGGTGAGGCTGTTGAGAGGCACTAATTCACTGGAACTTAAAGAATTTTTACTTTCTAAGTATTTACAGGTTAGTTTGTTAAAACTAACTTTTCTCTTAAATTTAAACATTAAAACAACTTTCATTAAAGATGTTTTCGGCAATGATTTTATGTTTTTCTTTGGTGTCTGGAAAATTGGCTGTTTCAAAAATCTTCTGAATGCAACGTCATAAATCAGCAGGGACCAGACTGTTACCTAGCAACCTCAGTTTTTGAGTAATCATTCAGAAACCATTTGTTACATTCTTGGTGGTTGTGCAGGAGGCTCCACTTCTGCTTTTCAAAGATGTACAGTTGTATAATTGCGCATCGCTTTGCAGACATTTTCATGGACAAGTGTAAACGTTGAGTTGGGGGGCGTGTCCACTGCTTATTTAAAGTGGCAGGACGTCAATAAATGGCTCAAAATAGGCAGAACTGATAAAAACAATTTTCTATGAATGATTTTTATACAAAAAATGAAATGTAGCACATTTTCTATGTCCTATATACCTCTCCTAACATTTCAAAGAAGAATTATAGGAACATTTTAAAGCTTTGTTCCTGAGAAGAGCAGTAGTTGTTAAGTTTTTATAATGGCTACATTTAAACCAGAAAGATTGACTAACAGTCATTTTTCCATCATTTGCAATGAAATCGGTTTGGCCCCCAGTCCTGCTGTTGTCGTAGTTGTTGTGACCATTGGTGTGGTTGAGGTAGACGTTATCAGTCTCTTCCTCAGACATGGTGGGAAGAAAGTGGAGATGTAAGCTACCTTAAAGCCTGAGTTGCAGAAGCAGTAAACCAGTGGGTCCAACAGGCAGTCGGCGTAGGACAGAACCATGAGGGCGTCGTACACCTGGACCACCATATTCTCCCAATCCTGACAGTTTTTCAGCCTCACGATCAGCAGCGCCAGCCGAGCCACCGTGCACGGCAGGAAGCAGATGGCGAAGATGATGGCGACAGACAGGACGGCGAACACGGCTCTCCTCAGTTTGGCCTTTTCTCCAATCGATTTCCTCCTCAGTCGGCTGATGATGCAAGATGTGCAGTAAATGAGGATGATGAAGGGGATGATGATTTGAGAGAAGAAAACGATCTAAAAGGGAAAAAAAAAGCTTATTACTCAGGACAGCAGTGCTTCATGTGGTAAATACTAATTTGATATTACAGATTTTGTTTTAAAACTGGTGGAAAAATACAAATCGGTGGTGATTCCTGAAGAAATGTACTGATGTGACTAACTCAGCGTCAGTTAGTGAAGTGGAAAGATTTACCCGTGTAGGTAATAATTAATCTCCTGAATTGTTGCTTCTCTGAGAGACTGGCTTTATGTAAATAGCTGCAGGTCAACTTACATACAACATCTTGCATTTGTCTTGCTTCTCTCTTAAATCAATATATTATTTTTTCAAAGTATTTTTCCAAATTTGTTTCATTATTTTTAATTTCTGATTTATCTGTTTATTTAGTCTTGTTATATATATATATTTAATACTTGAGAGACTCCTGTATGCAGCTGGTTTTTATTCAGTGTTTTCACAGTAATAGTTACTCTTAAGCAGAGCAATATTTCAACATGTTTTTACTCAATTAAAAGTTAAAAAAAATAATTGGAAAAATGTTGACTCAAGTACTGAGCAAATGATCAATTATTTAATTTTTTTAAATTAAATAATCAGAAGAAACAAAATATGAACTGGAAATGTTTATATTTCCACTAATAAAAACACTCCTAAAAGTAAATTTTTCCAAAATGTTACTCAAGTAAAAGTAATTGAGTAAATGTAACTAGTTACTACCAAACCTGTCTATGAATGATTGCCAAGTATGTGGTTGTATAAAATTATTTCTCATCATTGAATCATTGGTAAATATCTACACTTTTAATATTGATGTAAATTAGTGAGGGCAGAATTTTACCTCTCTTAAAGTGTCAGTAAAAACTTCCAGAGTCGTGGTCTCACGTCGGCCGAAGCTGTTGCAGCAATCGAAGGAGGATAGCATCGTGGGTATGGTGAGCGGCAGTAAGAAGACCCAGATAAGCACAGAGATCAGTGGAGACTTCTTAAACACCTTCACGTAGTTTTTCCTACCAAGATGGACGACGCTGAAGTAGCGGTCCAGGGACAGAGTGATGAGGAAGCCGATGCTGGCCCCTCGATTGAGGAACAGCATGAAGTGCATCAGACGGCAAAGAGCATCATCCTCACTGTGCCTCAGGTTGTGCTGATAGTGGTGAATTTTAACAGGAAGACAGACCACCAGCAAAAAGTCAGCGACCACAATGTTGAAGAGGAACACACAGTTGTTCTTCCAGAATTTGTACCTGAAGAGGAAACAGTTCACAGAACATTTAGTCAGGAGAAACAGGACGTTTGGTTCCTTATTGATTTAAACTATTCTGGTTTCTTTGCAGTATCAACAATGCTGAAGTTTCACATGTCAGGAAAAATGACTGCAATATTTTTATATTTTTGCATAGAACGTTTGAATTCAGAAAATGTGCAACAACGTTAAAAAAGTTAGGCTGTGGTTGGCCTGTTGTGCGTTGTTAGAGCAGCTATTTCCCCTCTTGCAGCACATTAATCTGGTGGCATCTTTGTGGACATGCAGTCCAATTTCTGTCAACTGCACTTTGACATTTAAACATCTTACATAAAACAGACAGCATCAAAGGTTTTTGTGTGTATTTGCACATGCAACCTAATTTAATAGCGAAATACATTTACCTAAGTGAAGTTGTTTGGTATTTTATGCAGGTGTATTTTAAATGCATCTCAACAGCCTTTGCTACCACAGTTGAACCTCATAATGTAACCATATCTTCACTTTAATGTTATGAAATTTTCATCCGTGCAGCTGAAAATCAGTGGTACCTGAAGATGAAGATGTAGAGCACCGAGAGGTTGAGAGGAAGTCCCAGGATGAACTCCACAATCATGAAGCTGGAGAGGACTTGGTAAGTGGCTGCATTCGGTGTATGGCACGTGTCATTTGGTGGAGAAGTATTATTACACATTTTGATGAATCTCAAACTTCGTCTTCACTCTGCCACTCCAGATTTTCCTCTCTTCCCTCTTGAACAACAAATTCAACAGTTCCTTTCACAGATCCTTGCAGTGATTGAGAAATCCAGACTATCCTTCGCCATCCATGCCAAAAGATCCCAGGGAAACAGAGACAACAAACAAAAAAAGAAATCAGAAGCAGAGCAGAGAGGAGGAGAAAACTCTCCGTCTGAGTGTGTGTTCTCTCTTCAGGCAAGGCTGCAACTGAATCCTCAAAGAGGAAGGACCGATATTTCATCTGGAGGTGTGGTTAAAGAGAGTGGCTCAACTGACTGAGAAGCGTCAAAGCTCCTGTCTTTAAGGACAAAAGTGAAACAAAAAGATTGAATAAGAAATTGTTCTGAGGAAACTGATAGTGTTCAATTTAGATTTCTGTAAAATTCCTGAAAGTTTCTCTGTTGCCTGATCATGTCCATGCATGTCAAAGTATTTCCTTTCCAGGAAATATTAGATCTGTCACATCATCAAAAACAAGGAATTAGTGACTTAAAACAAGATCCTGTATCTTGCTGAAAAGTTATGTGTAAGTTAGTTTTATCTTATTTAAAGTGTAACAAACTATTTGCATTAGAAACTAAACCAAAAAAACTAAATAATGTATCTTTTAAAATGAATTTTTCTTGTTAATGTCATGTTCCTACAGCTTAAAAATTTATTTTCTGTCCCGTTTACATTTTACTTTTTTCAGTGAATATATGCAAATACAAATTGTATATATTTTTTCCAAGAGGTGAAACCTGGATCTCTGATGGTTTTCAACAACAATTCACAAAACTAAAGAAAGCTTTGCAATATTGAGCGAATGTGTTAAAATCATGTCTGACTCACCTGAAACTGGCATGAAGCAATATTTGAAACTCATACGTACCATTTTCTCTAGAAACTGGTGAAGAAAATTCTTAGTAATTACATCATCGGGCAGACAAATGTCTAAGTTTTGTCACCACAGTTTTCTGTTTCAACTGGTCAAGAAGAGACTGGTCTATTGTTGCTGCAAAGCAGATTTAACCCCTAACATTAATACAGTTTCATAGGGATCAATTGGTAAATCTCCACTTAATTTAATCTCATGAGAAAAAGTCATAAAGCAATTTCTGCTCAGAGATGAAAAAATGCAACGATGTGTAATAATGTGACTTTTAAAAATTTGGCTCAGAAAAGACAGTTGGTCTTTTGTCACCTGCGTAAGTGGAAAGATTTTTCACATATCTTTTCACTCAAAAAATATAATCACACATTGTCAGTACTGTTTCCATTGGGTAGTTAAGATCTTTCAACAATCAGGACATCATCCACACCCTGGGTGTTTTTTTTTTTCACAGCTGATCCAGATGTTTTGCATCTGGTCTTCTGGCGCTGCCTGAAGACCAGCGCCAGAAGACGCTGGCGCGGCTTGTGGTGTTTTCACATCAGATAGTTTGGCAGGCCCAGTTCCTCTGAAGAACAAAATTGAAACATTTGTCATATTTTCAGCTGGTGTGGTTCATGTTCACTAGTCAAATGAACCAAACCTTTTGAAAAACCTGTTCACCTCTTCACCTGTGGGGGTTTTGGGTTTGGTAAAAGACCAGGAGCTAATTCTTCTTCTAATGCATTTGTTTTAGTTGTATTTACCCAGAATGCCCTGCATTGTAGTCCACTTCCTGCTTTTGGAGCAGCCTCCCATTCACTTCTCATATGTATTTGATCTGCACCAGAGCTCACTTCAACTGAGCCTAGTTTGCTCTTTTATGTATTCACACCACAAACTGCAGTTCGATTAAAATAGTGTGAATGCAGCTTTAGTTTACCGGCCTTCTGCTCTGCAGCAAAGCGTTGCAGAGCCTGTGCCGGTGCTCACTCCTCTGCCTGTTTCCCTTTCACTCTCTCAGATGCTTCACTCTTCACACATTAGTTTGTTGCAGGCTTCAGTAACGCTGAGCTTCTGTAGTCATTGGAAATCTCCAATTAATGCAACTCATGAAAAAAATGTTATGAAGTTACTTCTGCGAAGTGGTGAAAAAATGTGACTCTTAGAAATTTGTTTGTCATATTTTGACCACTGGACTCAAAAGTAACTTGTGGTTCCTATGTAAGTAAAAACTTCTCATCAGTTCTTGCCCAAAGCGATATGTTTCATTTATTTGGCATGCCTTTGTAATTTCCTTTTATCTTCAGCTTTATTTTTGCTCAGACTATTTCACCTTAAGGTTTTATGTTGCCTTTCATATCAAATAACAAATTCAGCATTCTGCTCTGATCTGCATCAAGTCCTTCATTTTTGTCGTCCTTTGCATTGCCTGACAGAAGAGAAGTCCTTGTTCTCCTGATCCTAATGGATTTATAAATCATCTGGGCTATAAAGCTTTTACTGCAGCAGGAAGTGAACCACATAATGTATTTAGGCTGAAAACAGAGTAGAAGCATTTGTTCTTATATTGCTCAGTCCAGATGCCCACAAATTGTTTTTGCAGCTAAAATATGAACATTTTCTTTTTCAAGATGAAATAAAACTGTTTGTTAGAAACAAGCACTTTAATATATTTTACACAGAAAGTGAGCAAAGTTTCAAGGTCCACTAAAAGTAGAAATAAAAGCAAGATATTTTCATTTTGTTGTCAAGAATAGAACAGAATGACAGAGTCTAAATGTGTCTCAGTTTTTTTACTATAATAATTATAATTCAGTAAATTATAAATTAACCTTCAGTAGAAAACATTAGTTGTTTTCCAGATTATTATTCTTTCCTCTACAATATTGTGGAAAAATCTTGGCCGACTCCTCATTTTAAAGTTGGTCCAGTTCTTTAAATTGGGAATATTATATATTTTCCAGGCACTTTAGGCCAATTTATAACACAATCAAGTTACCTTTTTTTTCAGTTTTTATGAAAATGCTGTATATACCAAAAACAACCTAATAGAAATCTTAGTTTGCGTCATAGCCATGTCCGGCACCTTGAAATTGACCTCTGTCTCTTTAAGAACCTCCTACCCTGACACTTCCACTTTAACATGTTATCACAACAATGTTTCTTCATGATGCTGTTTACATCTGTTCTTTGCATAAGCTCAGCAGATGTACAGTCCCGCCAGGTGTTTGCTGATATCTGCTGCCACTAGTCTGGAGGAGCCGAGTCGTGCGGAAGGATTGACTTTAAAGTTTGCAGATATTGACTGGAGCATTTTAACACTTTGACACTCTTTTCTTTTTCAGCCATTCTGCTGCATATGTGCTGTGTGTGTAGAAAAACTCTGCACTGATTTTCTTCAGTGCAGAGTTCATGGGCGACTCAATGAGTGCAAGCTGAACAGGAAATAAATCATCAACTCTTGACAGTTAGTATGAACTGTTTGTATCATTATAACCTATTCTTCCACAGAGTAGATTGTTTAAGTTCAGAGAGATTGTAAATAAATCTCCCCAAGTAATTGCATCAATAATTGCTTCTTTAAAGTCATTGCTGATGCTTTTCCTCTGCCGCTGTGTTAACACATCTGTAAAAACCCAGAGTTTCCCACTCGGCTCAGTAGCGACTGATCAATTCATCAACTTCCCTCTTTAGTCCCATATCTGCAGTCAGTTCTCCTTTCTGAATTGATCTTTGTTGAATAAATTATGAAAATGTTGCATATGATGTGTTTTTCTTCACTCAAAATTAGACTTAAATAATTTTAAACCAGGGAGAATTAAAAAAAAAAACATTTTAAGTGCATCTTGTCAAAACAAAAGATGGCAGCTGAGTAGCAGAATATGTGTCAAATATTAAAATATTTGAAGATGAGCAAAGAATAAACATTTTAAACCAACAACTTATACCTGCTGTTTTCTTTGTCTTAATGGCTGGTGACTAGTTGCTGTGGAGATTATATTGCAACATGCCGCATCAAATTTTAATGCTTCTGAAAACACTGAGCGTTACTGGTAGACATTTGTTCACCATCCTGATGCCTTTACTTGGTTACTCATTTCCTAGATGGTAAACTCTGGAAATAATCCATGTGGTTGTAAACTTATAAGTCCCTCTGTCCGCCCTTCCACCTCCAAAGCTGCTGTGGTTTGAGGGAAGAATGACAACACATCTTACAAATCACACAATAAAACATTGGACAATAAACCTAGCAAAGCATTTGATTGGACGAATAATGTCTGTCAGCTCCATTTCAGAGCCAGATAACTTCACACTGGATGTGTTTAGCTATGTTTACTCAGAGAAATGATTGTTTTCACCACGCCCACTGAGACAGAGGAGGATTTATCATCCATTGGTCACTGATCACACAGAGACAGGAGTAGACAAGCACCAGCAGATTGTTTTTAAGCTCTGCGTGTTAGACAAATGATCAGATAAGTTTATTCTCGCTGCTCCTTTTGGTGCATTAGGGAGATGATATCATTTAGAGAATGACTTCATTCAACATTAACAAATATCTTAGTGCTCATTTCAAAATCCAAACCGAAGCACTTTTTGACTCATTGCAAACAAATCACACTTTAAACAGATTGTTCTATTGAAGTAAAACATTAAATTAACCTCCTGCACTAAAACATGCAGAGCTAATAATTTCCAACTTAAACTTTACTTCCTGCAAAGCATCACATTGACCATATAACTTCCTTTTGCTTCTGCCTCATTATTCTGCTCTGTCACACCAGGTTCTAGACATGAGGGAATATTGCATAAAACCAGTGCTGCATTACTTTTGCAACATCTCACACACACACGCACACACACGCACGCACATGCACACACACAGAGTGTATGCATGTTCTGTCTTGCACCCACTGGCAAATGTGGTGCCAGAGGCAACAAATGTTATAGTTGGTCCTGAGTAATGGCGGTTATCTGCCCCTGTGGATGAAAAATATTCAAGCCTCCAAAAAACAAATTATAAAAAAAAATCATAATTTGTCCAGATGCATGAAAACTTTACCACAGTGACAAAGGGGAGTGGTTCAAAAGATGCCTGCAACAGATAAGACACCTACGGTGAAAGAAAAATGCCCTTACAGAGGACAGGAAACCATGTGAAAAGTGATTATCTAACTGAAAAGGTTAAAGCTGGTCTGTGTGAAACAGTTAATGTTAACACTTTAACCCTTTGTCTTTTTTTTTCTCTGTTGTCTCAAAAAAGAGAAAAGTCTGAACTACTAATGATTTTCTACAATACAAAAGAAAATTCACAACTTTGTAATTTATCTATTTAAAATTTTAAAAAAATATTCACATTTTCTAAATAATTTTTTCTGCCTCTCAATTTACTGGACTCTCTATGTTCGTATCATCCATTAGCACCAATCCACAAGAAAAATAATTCCAAGTCAATTGATAGTAGACAGAAAGAACGAGTTCACAAACAGCACTGAGACAGCTCATTCACATGGTCCATTATCTGTCTCATAGATCCCGACAGCAGCAATTTTTTTGATAAATATTTATCTTGTAACATTGGTCAACAGTGTATTTTTGCTGGTCTGGAAGTTGTGGCCCATCTGTGCTTTGGGCTACATTTGCATATCAAGATGGCAGGGCTCAGAGTTGTGGGAACTATGTATGCTGAGATAAACTCAAATATTTCAAAATTCCTACATAAAGATAAAAATAATCCACCCCAAAAAACTATTTAGACAGTTTATCAGAAAAGATTTGGGAGGTGAAATACACTTCAAAGTTAGCCAATAAATGTAAGGTTTTTTTTTCCACTATTTCTAGTGATATCCAATTTTTCCTGCTCAGTACAACAACTTCACAGTATTACACTGCTGCTGTTTTTTTTCACTTTCATCTTCATCGCTCTACATAAGTTTTTTTTTATTATGAAAGACTTATCTAATCTGCAGTGAGGTGAGTCCAACACACACACTGCATGAAGTGCGTAAATGCTGCAGAGTGAACTAAAATTTCACTGCTGAGAAAAAAACCACAGAGCTTCTTGGAAAAGTCGTCAACAAAAGAGAAACAGTAGCAAACTAATTGAGTTGTATTCAGTGAGGGAAATGAGTTTCTCAGCTCAGAGTGCAGATGGTATGGATCCATTGATCAATCAATTTATTGACCAAGATCGTTCACACAAGCAATACTGTAACAGCTCTGTTGCTTTTTGGTGCCATGCACACCAAAGTGCATTCATGAATTTATTTTAAAGTCTTTTATTTATTTTTGCATTCTCTTTTTTAATGTAAAATGTATTAATCCTGCTAAAAATTTGTACTCAGAGAAACAAACTAGGTGCGCGACATAAATGTATTGTTTGTGTTCATACGTAGATTTATCTTTGCTATTGAAGATAAATCTTAAAATCTTCCCAATTAAAGAACTCAATCTTTAATTGGGAATGAATGTAAAATTTTTGTATTTCTACTCCTTCTGCTTTTAGAAGTGGTAGAAATCCATTAACTCATTTAAAAGTAATCTTTTTGGTCTTTGGAAACTTACCCGTTTCGAAACCCTCCAGAATGAAATGTCGGAAATCAGCAGACACCGCCTGCCACTTCGCAATGCCAGTGAAGCTCAGCTCGTTACCGAGCAACCCCAACAAATTTCCACCTGTTAATCTGTTGCCTAGCAACTTAAACTGAGCTCCAGCGCCTTGGTTTTACTGCTGTATGCTGTAAGCACTGCACAATGGCTGCTGGGAAAGACAAGAGTACTGTTGATGACTTACCATCCAGAAACTACTTTCTGCATTCTTTTTGGTTGTGCAGGAGCCTCCATTTCTGCTTTTCAAAGATGTACGGTTAAATAATTGTACTACTGTTCAATTGAGCACCCCTGCTCTACATTTTGATCTATGTAGAGCAGGGGAGCTCAAACTCTTTGAGACCAAGATCTACTTTTTCTCTCACCAGCCGGCTGAGATCTACCTTATGGCATGAAGACATACAAATTATAAATTAAACCCTATTGACTAATTTTCTATGCAAATATCCATCAGTTACATCAGAAATGATAAAGTGATAGAAAACCTAATGCAGTTTCTTCCTCAGTGAGATTCTGACACTGGGAGCAGGTTACTGGTTTCTCAGTCAGACGCTGGTTGCAAACTTGAGGCCAGCAGGTGTCGGTCAGTTATGGTGGATCCGAAATTTGGTTTGATGACGTCACTATGCGAAACTGCAGACTGACAGGAGGAACAAAAGAGCTCAGTTACTCTCTTGAGTAACTGAGCTCTCAAGAGCTCAGTAACTCTGGGAAAAAACAACTCTCAAGACTCTTGTGAGTCTTGAGAGTTTAAGGCACAGGTGTCAAAGTCCAGTCCTCAAGGGCTACTGTCCTGCAGTTTTTTGATGTGCCACAGATACAAAACACTGGAATGAAGTGACTTAATTACCTCCTTTTTGTGTAGATCAGTTCTGCAGAGCCTTAATGACCTAATTATTTTTATTCAGGTGTGGTGCAGCAGAGACACATCTAAACGTTGCAGGGCACCGGCCCTTGAGGACTGGAGTTTGAATAACCTTGCCTCTATGTATTGTGGGGATGTTTTTGTGGATATTAATTAAAATGCTGTCACTTGTCTGAAATTTTGAGATGTGTTTAAACTGTAACTCAACCCGATGTGAAAGCAAAGCCAGGCAAATGTAGAAAAATTCCTCCAAAGTGGGCGGAGCAAGAAGACCATGAGGAACGTGGCAAGATGTGGGGATGATGAATCAAGAAGAAAGAAGGTTTGCTGCTATATTCAGCAAATTTTCACACCTGAGGAATTATTTCAAAAAAGCAAAAAGTGGCAAACCTAACAAATTCTTAGAATAAACTAGTGATAAACAAAGCTATTTTTAAAAAAAGAAAGCTACAAATATAGCAACAAATTTAGCAATATTTTTTAAAGAAAACTGTCAGTATGGTGATTTTTTTCAAAAAGGAGACTAGTGGTAAATCTAGTACATTTTCTAGAAAAAAAAAACTGGCGACAAACACAGTGAATTTTTCCAAAAAAGTGAAAATCTTTCAACTGTTTTGGAAGAAACCAATTAGAGACAATTTTAAAAACTTTAATTTAAAAAAAGGATTAGTGACAAATATAGCGTTTTTTGTAAGTTACAAATAGTGAAGTTTTTTCAAAAAGGCAACTTACGGTGAATTTGTTTAAACTTAAATAAATATCTATTACGTTTTTTATGATATTCGTTCATTTGCCTTTAGAGTTTTAATGATTCATTGAATAACTCGGGTTCCTCGATTGTTACGATTTCTTTTGGTAAATTATTTTTCTCGAAACTTAAAGTATGTTATTCCAGATAGCGCCATTTGTTCCTGCCGGACAATTATTTCTGTTGCGCAAAGCTCTCACTTCCGCTAACAGTAGTTGCTAATCGCTATTAGCATAACAGAGAGTGACCAAACATTTTCTTTTCCCCGTACATGTCCACTTTGTCAGCGGGGATTTTATTAACTGATGAAAATCTCCCAAAAATTCCCTTTTGGGACCAATAGGCATCCTGAAATTGATTGGCGCGATTTGTTAAAATAAAATCTTTATCCCGGAGGGAACAGAAACACAGCGGGCTGACGCTTAGCGCAAGTCGCATAAACAAAAAGCTGTAAAATAGTGTGAAAAATGAGATGTAAATTAACTGAAGATGGATGTATACACTAAAAACGGGAGTATGCATGTTTTTGTTTGTTAAGTGCTTTAGTGAGACTGCTGCTTTTTATGTGCTTTTTATTTTTTAGTGATTTTTGTCCAGTGGGCTGTTACTGGTGTTATTTGTTGACATCATCAAAAACCTCATCACCATCCACACAGTGAAACATGGTAGTGGCAGCATGATTCTGCCACTACCATGTTTCACTGGGTGATGTTAGGGCTGCAACTAATGATTACTTCAATTATTCTGATGATTAATCTGATAAAAAATTAGCACATTCTGCAGATATTTCCTTTAACCACTTAATATTATTTTAGAGGAAAAGAAATGCAAAAAACAATTAATTAATTAGATTTTTAAAGAAATTTACCATTTATTGCCTAAAATGCAGTAACAGAGCATTCCTTAAGAGGGCGCTAGATCGTTTGTAGCTCAAAAACTACAGTGCAGGGTTGATGTGTTGATCATTTTTTAGATGAATAACTGGACAGCAACAGATTTGTTCTTATTTTTTATAGAATTTGAACCAAGTGAAGCTAAAACTGTTTCACTTGAAGAGCTCTAAACATTTTTACAGACAAAGCCTTTTCTTTTAATCTTAAATGCGAAACACGTATGTTTTTTAAAACAGTTTTGGATTAATTGCTACTCTAACCATATTGTTCTTTAAAAAAATGCTGTTTTTAGTTTTTTATTAGACTTTAAAAAGTCTTGTGAACTGAGTGTCTCCAGTTAAGGTTTAGTCAATGATTAATCAATGACTAAATTGTTTTAATAATTGATTAATCACAATTAATCCGATTAATTGTTTCAGACCAGCTTGAAGTACCAGTTAGTTTTGGCTTTAATTTAAGATGTAAAAAGCTGAAGAGAAAAAGCGACTGAATGTTAAATGTAACTTAAAATCTTGTTCAGAAAATAATCTGTTTACAAATGTGCAGCCAAGTTAATGCAGAGTATTATTTATTTAAATTTTTGCCTGTATGAGATTTGTGTGTCCTGTTATATCATAACATAAATATATTATACTATAAATATTTTAACCTGCTTTGATTTGGTCAAACAGGTTAAACTAACCAAACAGCTTACTATAACTTTAAAGTTATAATAATAATAATAATAATAATACGTGATGTTTTCTCCCATTTTCGCTTGAGACTGGATGGTTGTGTTATTTGTAATGTGCACATAATTATGTCACTCATACTCACACATTAAAGCTTTGCTTTAATTGTTTGTAAAAAAAAATACACATATAGATTAAATGTTTGCATAAAGGAGGGTAGAAATTAAATATAACAACAATATATTACAAAAATCACACCCTACACCTTTTATTTACAGCACAGAAGTATTTACACAATGCCTCTTGTAAACAGAAGTAATTTTTGGGTGCATGACGTCCAAGTGTTTGTCACATATCAGTGCAGAAGACATTTACTGTTCATTTTACGATGTGATAAAAACAATGACAGATTACGCTGAGAAAGCACAACATTTACCTTTCAGGCCACAGTTGCTAAAGGTTTGTTTGGTCCAAAAACAGGGAAATATACTGCAGTCAAACACAGTGGTGGCAATATGGTGACATGGGATTAGTTTTCACTACAGACTCAACCCAGAATACATTTAACAGTTTATTTTAGACACATAAAGACATATTCTTACAAAAAAACACATTATTATCACAGTAAAGAGGTGAAATTTGAGAGAAGTGAGCAAATAAATGAGACTTGCCTCCAAGGATGTTGTCATTTTATGTGCTAGTAAACCTTGGAATAGTATCACATAAACTGTTATGAGAAACTGTCCAATTCTTAGTCAATATTTACTCTTTTTATAGTTCCCCACTCTAAGAGTGCAGCTGTGACATTTAGGTAATTAAAACCGTTGCTGGTTGATTCATGTTTCGCCATGGAGGTTGAAAGTTTATCCTGGGAAGACAGTTGGGTAATATTCCATAAAGGCTGTGACTCATGGATGTCAGACGCAGCAGATTACAGATTATCTAGGAGTTTTAGTCTATATTTTTAAATATACACAGAGCAATTTACTCATCCTTTCTTACCTGTATTACCAAAACTATGTCATTAAAATGATGGAGTTCATTCAGGTGGGCTCAGGTGGATTTGTCACCTTTCTAGGTAAGAAGGAAGAGTCATTACTTCTGATGTAAATCAGGGAAGTTTCTATTTGTGCTTATGTTAAAATCTGAAAAAAAATAAAGCAGATTCCAGCAAATGACACAAAATAACCTTCAAATCTCACAAAGACGAATGTAAATGTCAGAAAGACAGGTAAATAACAAACTTAACTTGGATTACAAAGTTACTTTTCTTCAGCTACTAAAACAGTCGCTACACCCACTTTGCATAAGTATGGTTTGCTACTCAAAGCACCCTTGCATTTAGATTTTCAGAATAAAAATATTCCCTCAATATTTTCTGCTACAGATTTGAACAGATGATTCCTCTAGCAGGAAGGAGTTTTGTAACTCATCTCACAGTCCAAGAAAAAAAGAAAAACAGATGTGCATACTTTTCTCGCTTCTCCCTTGAAAACGTTCTGGCAACAGCTTTCTTAACACAACATAAAAAGAATAAAAAAATCTTACTGAACTTTGTAAGTCAACATCAGTGGAAGCTTTAAATCTAGAATTACAACCACATTAGCACTTCTTACATCTAAGATATAAAATTAATTCAAATATTCCTTAAATTTTTTTATCTTCATAGCATGATTTAAGGTAAAGCCTCTCTTGGGACTCATATCTGAGGCAGTCTGGTTGTTGCACAGCAACTATCGGCTCATAAACATCCAGCAGAAATTGAAGTCACTGTTTTTAAATGACTTTGTTGCGCGGTGGTTGTGTTGTGTTTTCCGTTGAACTGTTGATTGGCTTCGGGGTTCCTTTTATGCAAAAAGATAAGTAATTGGAGACATAAAGTGCTTTAAACTTGGTGCTACAGAAGCAGTAAACCAGCGGATCCAGCAGACAGTCCAGGAACGAGAGGACCATGAGGCCATCAAATACCACTTCTGCAGTTTTCTCATACTTTTCCAGCTCTGGATTGACCCTAAAGATCAGCAGCACCATCCTGGCGATGGTGCACGGCAGAAAACAGAAGGAGAAAACAACCATGACGGTGGTCACGAGGAGGACCGCTCTCTTTAGCTTCGTCTTATCTCCAACAGTTTTCTTCTTCAATCGATTGATGATGCGAACGGTGCAGTAGACCAGGATGATGAAGGGGATGATGATCTGGGTGAAGAAAACCACCTCTCTGGCTATGTCTGCAGACTGCAGTTAAATTAATAACACAAAACACAAATTGAGATTCTCATAAACATCAATGAATGTTCATTAAAAAAACTCAGCCAGTAGTTTGACAAACTTTCCCAAGACTCTCAGCCAAAGGATTGACTCATTTCCTTAATTTCAAATTAAATTATTGCATTGTAAAACTGAGATGACGCTGAAAAGTGTCACTAGAACTTATTGAAATTAGCTATAACTCTTTTTCCCAACAAAGGAGGTAAACTGGAAATGCAAAAGCGTTTCAATGTAAAATTTCACAAATCTTTTATGAATCACATCTTCTGTGATTTTCCCATTTCACTGCTGATGCAAACAAGATAAGAGCCTCACCTCCCACCAAGTCTTATTTTCCCTCATATTTTTATCGTTGTCCAGGCTGTTGCAGCATTCAAAGTCCTTCATCATGGTGGGAATGGTGAGAGGCAGAAGCAACACCCAGATGAAGATCGAGATGTAGGGAGATTTCTTCAGAGCCTTCATGAGGTTTTTCCTGCCTGGGTGCACCACGTTGTAATAGCGATCTATCGAGGTCACAGTTAGGAAGGCGATGCTGGCGCCACGATTTAAAAACAGCATAAACAGCATCGTTTTGCAGATGGGGTCAATCCGGTTCCTCCTATTTCCATTAATGAAGTTATGAGCCTTGATTGGCAAACAGATCAGCAGCAGAATGTCTGCCAGCACCAGGTTGAAGAGAAAAATGTTGTTGCTGTTGGATTTCCAGAACTTGAGCTTGAATATGAAGAGGTGGAGGACCGACATGTTCAGAGGCAAAGCCAAGATAAAAATCACAATCATCACAGCTGCGTAGAACTTATACAGATCATTGTTATTAACAGCACACCCTTGGGGTTCATGTGTGCTGTTTATGCTGTTTGATACAGTAGTATTTAAAATCATGTCTGCAAATAAGAAAATAGCAGAGATGTAGAAAACAGTTATTCCCTAAAACTGAAGAACAAATTGTTCCATAAAATGTTGAGATCTGCTGCGAGATCGAGCCTTACCTTCCAAAGAACAGAGAAATACTGTTGAAAAAGTTTCTTCTTTGCCTTTGTTACGCAAAGAAGAAATTTCAGTCCTGCTGTGTGTAAAAAGTTGCCTTTTAAAAAGTTTCAGTCCTACTCTGTGCAACGGGATCTGCGCTTGAAGTTCAGGTCAAATGAGCAGCGTCCCCTCTGAGTTTCTACTCTCCTGAATCTGAGGCTCCTCCTAAGGAGGAGTGTTCAGAGGCAAAGCCAAGTTAAAAATCACAATCATCACAGCTGCGTAGAACTTATACAGATCATTGTTATTAACAGCACACCCTTGGGGTTCATGTGTGCTGTTTATGCTGTTTGATACAGTAGTGCTGCAGTAGTGCTACAGTAGGAGGTGAGTCATCCGCTGCTTTCTATAAAACATACAAACTCTCTCACAATACAATCTAACTCTCTTACAGAGTTTGTTTGCAATGGACATTAACTTAAAGATTCAGTTTCTGATTGGAGCCCAGGCAGGAGAAGGCGGGTTTACAGAAAAATAGCTGAGCGGCAGCGACTCACAGAGGGAATGAATATTTTAAATCAGTGGTCCCCAACCCCCGGGCCGCGGACCGGTACCGGTTCGTGAACCAATTGGTTACTGGCAGCGCACAAAATAATTAAATATTTCAGTTTTCTATGTTATTTGAATCTGGAGGATCTTTTATTTTGAAAATCCTTTAACCAGGTTCTCTCGGTTATGTTTTGCGCGCCAACATTGAGCCGCAAGCAGCAAAATGAGTCAGAAACAGATCAGATTCTTTGGAAAGTTTCTTCTGAATGGAAAAGGCCCAGAGAAGATACAGGAGAATGGATTTATCCCGGTAGGGAGAAACATTTCTTTAATGCACGAGAAATGGAGGATTGCCTTTGGGCCTCAAACTCTGCATGCTTTGAGCGCCTTTTCTACTCCAGCAGGAAGTCCAGACAGTGTTGCAGATTGAAATGTGTCGTCAACATCTGGTTTCAGAGTGGAGCCCTTTCCCAGACCTGAAAGTGAAATTAAGATGATTAAGTCACTCCACATTATGTGGATAGACCCAAATCTTTGTTGTGTTGACACACAATCATTTACAAAGACCAGTCTGTTTTGGACTTTTAGAGAAAGCCTATAGAAAGACCTCAGGCTCGGATTGCTCCAAGGCAACAGTGCTACCAACTGTGTGTCCATGCAGCTAAGTTTCACACAGTTGCACACAGCTTATTAAATGGCGGTTAATCAACGTCCCCACAATCACAGTCCAAAGCAAAAGGGGGTGACTATGCATTGAAGGCAGGAGAACATGAATCCATTTATAAATCCCAGAGTTGAAGCGAAAACCAGTCGATGATAAATAGAGGATCTTGAACTAAACGATAAAAACTGTTTGTTTTTGGGTTGGGTTTTTTTTGCGGTTTTAAGAAGAAAATGCACCAACAAATGACCAAGAGTTTATGTCGAATGAGCGATTCCTAGAAATACCACACTGAACTCTTAATCCTGTTACTGAAGAGCAGTAATGTGGGATCTGCAGAGCTCTGATTATTTAACCCAGTGGAACGTTTAATAGAGCTTTATTGAGGATGAGAAAAATATGCAGCCAGCTGAGAACATAAACAATCAGACTACTGTTCTCAGGCAGTAAAGCCAAACCGTGACATCACTAGCACTCGAAGTAAAGCTCCTTGCTGCTATAACTCATTCTGCAGGCGACTCCTCTCGCTTTGAACCGGGCCGTCTCTCACAAGGCTGATATGTTCTGCTGTTGCAGGATCCCATTTCTCCTGTTGCACCTTCATCATTTCTCCCACATTTACCAACATTTAATCTAGCTGATAACATATGCAAATAAAAAGATGATTTAGTATTTTATTAATTTTGCAAAGCTGACTAAAACAAGCAGAACAACAAACTAAAAGCATGAACCCACCAGCATGATATTTGTTGTGTATGATTGGATTGAACTGACTTTTCTTTTTTTTCTTAAAAGTGAATAAAAAACACGGTAGTTTTAACTAAAAGTCCTTCAGACCACAGACACACACCTGCAGTTTACAATAAAGTTTCAAAAGCTTTACATTGAAAAAAAAATATTTCTTTTGCCTGATTTTATTTTGCGATTATATTATCTATGTGAATTCTTTTCATTTGATTTTGAAACACCAAAATTACCAACATTTCAACATATCTTAATATTTTAAAATATTAACTAATTTGTTTTGATCATTTATTCAGTACTTCAGTCGCCTTTTTGCCCAATTACATTTTTACCCTTACTTGAGGAATTTCTTGGACTGTTTCTTTTTACTTTTACTTGAATAAAAATGTGTTGCAGTAGTACTATTTTTGCTTGAGTAAATCCTTTGTGTACTTTACCCATCACTGTTTGGAGTGAGGATGTCCTGGGTTTGAAGCGGTTCAGACAATGGATGAAATGAACGGATTAATAATCTACTGGATTATGATACTGTTAATCTCACAATGTTAGTAACGTCCCAGTTTTGGTACAGTCACATCAACAACACCAAATATTAAATAATTGCAATTGCTATAAATGTTGCAATGTTTCAGTACCAATAATGTAGTAGAGATCACAAAAGTCTAACTTTTTTTTACATAACAAATGTGAGGATGACCTTTTAAAAAAAAATCTATGATGGGCTGTTTCTGTGGTTAAAATTAAGATGCCACAAGAAAGAGAAATGGCCTTTGCTTCACAGTTTGTTTTACAGTATAACATTAGCTTACATAAAGGGAGCTCAACATTGGTGCTACTGTTTGCATAACACCATTATTATTCAGCTTTTAGTATCTGGAGAAACTGTAACCCTGATGGATTACTGGAGAGGCGAATATCTGAGTCAGATGAACAAACAGTGTCCCAGAGATTCTTCACTGCTTGATCCTCAGATTTTTTATAAGCAGCTGATTCATTGTTGTTCAGTGACTTAAAGAGCAAAGAAGATTTTTACCAAACGACTCCTTTCAAATTTGTTCAACACTCATCTCCTGCTCCTCATAAATGACTCATTAAGAGCTTTTGTCTCAGACAACTCATTAATGGGAAAGGATCATCACTGACAGCTACAAATGTCTCGACTGCTAGATGTTAAATTCGACAAGAAAAGTTTGCTGATCTGTGGAAGCACTCCACGCCAAAGAAATGCAATAAATACTGCTCATTTGTATGTATCAAAAGTAGTTATAGTGCTGCATGGATGGGTAAATGACATGTTTAAGGGTTATATTAAAGTCCAGACTTTGCCTTCTGAAATTCTAGTTTTATCATTTTCAGCCATTCAGAAACAGACTTGATACAATTTCTCTTTCACGTAGAGATAATATTGGTTTGATAATTTTGCTGTAAAATCAGCCTTTTAAAATAATATTTTTGATGTACGCAGGTTATCTCTAATATCAACATTTTAGGTGCCAAATGCAAAAACAGATGAAATCTGTAAGGACAGTTGACAGAATTGCATTATGGAGTCTAATAAATACTGTGAAATTAACCACCAGCTTCTTAAAGGGTTACCTGGCACTCAATTACAATCTGACCAGGTGAGTGTAGTAGAGTATAATTTGATAATTGTTTTTATTGCCACTTGCATTGCCTTTTATTTGTGCATGTGTTCTTTTAAAGAAGCACTCATTTTTTGAAAATACAATACTGTCTTTATTTTGACTGTCCATCTCTTAACTAGACTACAGTGTTTCCCACTGCACTGTAAAAAAGGAACCTCAGGGGTTATCACATTAACAAAAGAATATCATGTACTGTTAACTAAATAATTCCATGTTTGAGCCAAAAACATGATACAATCATGTTGCATGAACAAGATATTCCACAACTTCAACGTTTATAAAATTGAATCATGTTGAGCGAACATGATTCATTATAGTCAGACCGATCCTATGCTGAAGACCACGAGTGAGATCACGGGATATCACGCAAGTTCACGCAAGATTACGGGAAATCACGGGATATCACGCGAGAATACGCGAGACAATCGGTTTTCTCTCGCAAATGGAATAAATGTATTCAAGGTGAGATAACGTGATTCAATTACGTCAGCTAGATCTTCCGCCAAAAAAAAAGAACGTCGGGGCGTATTACATTAACAAAATAATATCATGTACCTTTCACACAATAATATTGGGTTTGAAGCGAAAACGTGATAAAATCATGTTGGATAAACAAGATATTCCACGACTTCACATTTATAAAATTGAATCATGTTGAGCTAACATGATTCATTATAGTCAGACTGATATTGTGCTGACGACATCGAGTGAGATCACGGGATATCACGCGAGAACACGCGAGACAATCGGTTTTTTCTCTCAACTGGACTAACGTGATTGAATGACGTTATCTCAACTTGAATACATCTAATTAACATATATATACCCACCGCGGGTGGTTCTTATCCTCTGAGCTCGGGTCCTCTACCAGAGGCCTGGGAGCTTGAGGGTCCTGCGCAGTATCTTGGCTGTGCCAAGATATATATAGCCTATATATATTTATATTTTTATTTTATTTTATTCAATATCTATATTTGTCAAAGTTAATCTAATAAAAAAAACAGTGACGTCAGTTCCAAAGCGCTATTGTGTCAGACTCATCCCGCTGAAGAGGATCCAGAGACATCAAGAGATTACGGAAAATCACGCGAGATAACTGGCTTGCACCTTGTTGGGTTTTTTCAAGGGCGGAGGGGAGATTCCTGGCGTGCAGTTACTTAATTTGAAGAAGGTAAGAGTCAAACTATTTTCATCTAAATCCATATAAAAAATATGTAACTTAAAATTTCTCTAACATTTGCACCATTTTCTACTTGTTCCATACTTGTGTCACATTATTTTATGTTCTGTAGATTAAGTCGGTTAGGTTAAGGCAGATAGCTATATGTGATATCATTGGTAAGTTTACATTTATCGCCGCACCATGTTAGGTACATTCTGTGCGAAAAAAGTCTGCAGAGCCATATGTAGTGTACAAAGCTGCTGCCAGAGACACAAATGGACCCCAGAAATGTCACAATTTTGCTCCTCCTGAGCTCCCTGGAGGTTTAGTGGATTTTTAACACATGGATCTAACATCAGTCTATTTCTAACTATTTTAATTCTATTTCAGTAAT